TTCATTTCAATATCTTCATAAATAAAAAAGTTAGCATTGCACATGCGTTAAATCAAATGTTTGACAGTGCGCATGAGCAAAACCAAAAAATATCGGTATTCACGGAATCCTTCGACCAAGCCCTTTCAAATGAGCCCTGTATCGCCCAAATCGGTTCAATGATGTAGAAGGGGTACGTGTGACGGACGGACGGACGGATGACAAAGTGCAGGCAATAGCGATTTTTCACTTTTCGGAAAATACGCTAAAAACAAAACAAAACTTATTCAAGCAGAGGTAATGGGTATTGGAGGTGCCAAAACTAAAATAAAAGTTCTGAGAATAAAGAGGGAAATACATTGTAACAATCTCAGTTTGGACTTTCAGCCTTAATATATTGGATTTTGACAACCAAATATTGTACTTAATATCCGTGTGCACGGTAACTGTTCTTTCAAAACATCCGATCGCTTTAAAAATTGGTATACACGTCTTTTAAAGGACATTAGAAAGGTCGCTAGTAAAAATGATCTCGAATGTAGCTTGGTATTCAGTCGTATCGGATTTTTGAATATAGCTATCCCTCTTATTTCATTTCATTTGACGAATTTAGTATTAAAATTAAAAGCAGTACATAGATGACCACTGACGAGGATAAGAAATTCTGTTTGAATACTAATTTCTCATTGGCTTTCAGCAATGACTTTATCAAGGAATGTACCATGAGTCATGATTACGCACTGCTGTTATTCAGTAAAGTGATACATTCCGTAACTTTACAAAGCAAAGGGTTTAATGCATTGCTTAATTTATATGAGAAATTAGTATTTACATAAAAGTTAGGAAAATGACACATTGCTTGCGAGGGGCCCAGTTAAGTTAAGTAGGTGCCATTTTACTGACGAGTTTTGTATTACATTTTTCCCGAAATCTTCTTATTATTGGAAAGTTTCATGGTTTCGTATAATAGGTATATGGTATATGGGCACGAAATTGCGAGTTTCGTTCAAGCAGAAAAGATAACGGTGTCACATCAAGTGGCGATTGGACCGTACTCGACCGTGATCGCTAGGTGAAGGAAAAGTCGTGGCTACTGCCGATACGGTAGGCACTTGAAATTGAAATATATTGAAAATATAAGTACATAAATATTTACCTACGAGTGAATTACATCATGCCCAAGATGCGTAAGCAAACGCTCGTCTGCACCTTGAAATTAAGAAATTAAAGTTGATGTGGTCTCCGTTATATTAAAAAAACTTTAAAGAAAAAATGAATTACATCTATACAAACAAAAACTATATGTATTATATTAGCAGAAGGGGAGGGACTGGAGGGATCCATGGATATACTATTACATGCATATTTTTTTTTACCCAAACAGTTGATGGATTGCTGACCTGAGATACGATAATAGCCACTCCTTTAAACCTTTTTTGAAATTTCTATTTGACGTACACGACCTCAAATGAAATGACATTTTGTTATAAAATCTTATCTTTGCATAAATTTGCCTAATGTCAAGAATCTCTGAATGTCTGTATAGGTCGTCCGAGTTGTGCCTGGCGGTCTTTTTATAAATAATTTTGATTATGCGTTTTTGTACTATTTCCAGCGGATTTATAACGGTTTTTAGAGCTCCCCCCCCCCCCCCGGCAGTTATACCATACGAGATGCGAGATTCCACTATAAAACCAAATAAACTCTTTTCAATGTATGTACCGGGAAGAAATCTCTAAGCTGTTTGAACACTTAATAAAAGCTTCTAAGTCTTGTCATTAACTCTTGTACATAATGACGCCATTTCATGGAACTATCTATTATAATACCTAGATATTTGATAGAGTTACACCGTATTTCGGTACAGTCTTGTTTATGAATTTTAATTACTTGTACATTGGGATAATTATTTTTATTTCATACTATCTAGTAATCGCCGCTTTCCCAGACTGATTTGAGTCTGGTAAATCGTATTTTACCAGACTGAAAATTTTTACCAGACTGGAAATTTTGCCTAGCAACCGCAACTGACATCCATCTAAACTTGATATGTGATTGATTGATTGATATTGATATTTGTCAAACTACTGTCAGATCAAACAAATCAAGTGATCGACTTTTGCTTTTATTTTTATGTGTACCTACAACATTCTAATCAAAATGGTATTTTAAAAGAAGTAGAGCAGTATGAAATAAAATGTTTTACATTATTTGTATGTCAAATCAGTTTACGTTACTCGTTTCGAAATTCCTGCCTCAGCTACGCTTCGGCAGTAAACATCTCACTCGTTAACGTAAACCTTGATTTACCATACTCATATGTAAATAACTATTATTTAGAAAAAATGGAGTAAACTTGGTTTTTTTCAGATTTAAAGGAAGTAAATCATAGTCAAACCACTTTTTGATCGACAGAAGGTCCAATGAGACAACTTTTTCTAAGTATTCCCAACTGTTAGCTTGGTAAGTGACAACGGTATCGTCGGCACATGCATACACCGACCCGCCAAAATGAAATTTGAGGAAATCATTGACATATAATATATTGTTATGTTAAATAATATTGACCTCAAGACGGTGCCTTGCGGGACTCCACATCTCACCTTACTTAACTTACTTAAGAGTGCTCAATTGTTTTGTTAATTTCAATCTAAAATCATCGCATATCTCCTTTGATAGTATAACGAGCACGTAACGACGCTTATTTATTCAGAACAGTGATGTTGGAAACTCTGGGAAAAAACTACGAGCAGAGCCACCTACCTTTCAAGTCGAAACGATGGACGTTTCGCGGCACTTTAGAATTTGGATGACAGTCAGCTCGATATCGGGTGGCACGAATGAACTCGTACGTTGTGTAATCGGTTCTTTATGTGTTGGGACGCGAGACATCATCGAGAAGGGAATTAAATAAAAGACATAACGTAAGAAATGACAAGAACAAATAAATATATTACGCACACAACAAGACCATGCCAGGGAAACCTTCTACGGGACAAAAACCCTGGCACAGGCCACACAAATACATGGAATAAATCACCTAAAGCAATAAAATGCAAGAGAAAATACACATAAATAAAACATCTCAAATTGTATGATAAAAAATCAGATATTCAAATCAAATGCACTTAAACAAGTTCATAAAAACAAAATGCACAAGACATCATAAATGCAGTGGAAAACATGATAAATCAATTCAATACAAAAACACATCAAAATACCTGTACGATCAATTGAGATAACAACCTGTAAAATAATAAATGGCAAGTACACATGAAACATGTCAATGTGGTGGCCCTACTTGCTTGCTACATAATTTAATTTAACACGAAAAGTAGATGTGAGAATGCCAATAGCAAGTATTCATGTGAAAATCGATTATCGCTCAAGCAGAACATACTTTAAATAGAGGAAATGTTAATGAGAGGGCCCCACTCGTATTGCTAAGATGTTAAGAACTGCAATCCGCACGAGACGAGTAGGCAACAGATACAGCGAAAGATCGAACTGGTTTAGGTACCTACTCCACGGAGACAGAATGAACCACTCGCACACACAAACATCGAAACATCAAATAAGAGAGCCCCCCTTCGTATATCTAACGCACAAGAACTGCAGCGCGCCACGAATAAGAAAATAACAGATACAGCGCACAATCAAACTGTATTAGGTACTTCCCTCAAGGAATAGTTACGGATCAATCGAACAGAACAACATCGCACTGATAATCAACTCCTCGTGAATACAGAAATAGATACTTAATTAAACAAAATACTGGCATAATCATCTGTACAGTATAACAAACACGATTCATCTAACGGTACTCAAAACAAAGGCATGGAGTCGCCATGATTCAGATATCGCAGTTTATGCAAAATCAGCAAAATGTAAATAATATCAAATTGTGGCAAGAAAGTCAATGATTAATAGCTAGTACAAGAAATAATAAAATAGTTACTACCTATAAATACACCTTCAAAACACCACAAACTAAAAAAATCAAGAAGAAAACCGGGAACGTGTGTTGCCTTCCGTCGACCCGGTCGACATCTTTTCTCATGATTAGCTTCATTACGAAAATCTCCTAGTATTTGGCATCTGCGCCAAACGGTCCATTGTATATCGGGTGATCAAAAAGAACTGCAGACAGTTTAAATTGGGCGCTTTAAGCTTTTAATATTTTTTACTTAAGGAATTGACAAACATGTTTAGACGGTAGTTTATTTATGCATTAGTGATTAAATTCTTAGCATAGATAAAAATGAGATAAGGGCGCCAGGGTCTTTAATCACTGTCACCAATTCAGTACTGCTTACCTGACCCAGGATAAGTCCATTAAAATCTCTAGTAATAAATAGATAAATAAATTACGCGGTGCTAAGATAGTAGTATTCTATTAAATTAACTTCGATACGATTCGAATACAGAATTAAATTAAAACAATAAGTATGTGAAATTGAGTTGAATATTTGATTTAACAAATTGACGCAAATGAAAATCTACGAATTCTGGAATAACTATAATAATTGTGGGTACTTATTTTAATTATGGTACCTGTGATAAAACCAAAAAAAAAACTGCAATAATTGTGCCGACGGAAGGGCCGTAGGTGTGAGTCGGGAGCGCTCGCAACCCGGTTCCCCAAACCAAGTTTTAAAATTAATAACTAAAATACTGTAATGCTGACTTGGTTTGACGATACCGCCTAAGGGAACACCCTAAATATACACGCAACCTTATAACGCGTTCAAGTAACTTTTGGAGCGACCTCGTAGATTCCCTGACAGAATTTTACTTCAAAATTTGACTCTAATTAGTGATAATAACTTAATAAAAAAAATGTATTCGTTCGATATAAGAAAGTTAAAGTTGATATTCGATGTTCGATAGTAAACGGAAATTCGGCGACTCCAATAGTTGGTGATAATAAATATAAAAGAGAGCTGACCTTAACTGAAGCTTAGCTTATCTTTGGGACGACAGCGGCCATTTTGATAAATTGGTAAAGGTGATAATGATAATCTTCTTGGCGTGCGGCATTTCCTGGGCAATTATCTTCAAGTAGAAACGGTGATAGGGTACGTCTAATTTTCGGACGAACTCCTTTATATACGATTCCAAATCAAAAGTAGGCGAAATCCCAAAATGGGAAAGAAAACGGAAAAATAAACAGGCCTAAAATAGTTATTGACGATAAAACCGCGTAATACAATAGAAATAATACCTGAGATAACGGGCGGCCTGCAGATATAAGTTGCTGTTTAAATCAATTAATTCTTGAGTTATCAAGTCTTCTAAGACAATGCTAATTAGATACTTCTAACTACCTTTACTAAGGATAACTCAATTACTTTTATATTCGCACTCGATTAATATCAAAATGGATGCAACAACGACCAAGTGCGAAGCAACAATACCCAATTATTCCAATAATAGCGATCGGCGTTATCATTTATCGCCTTAAATTTTACTTTAAAACCTTAAACGACATCTAACAAATTTTGTATAAAGCCAGGTACTAAAATGCTATAGGAAATTGAAATTTGAACTGTAACAACGTTATAAATGTTTAGTTTTACGGAAAATTCAAATTGTCCGCACTACTTTTCGATCACCCGGTATATACAGTGTGTAAAGCGATGGGGTATACAAGAGGGAATTTTTGTTTAAATATTGATTTATGAAAAAAATTATTCTTCATGATATGTTTTGCTTGCTTTGAAAGTACCAATAACGTTTTGATAATCTAAAATTGATTTATAGAAATCTGGAAAAATAATAAAATTAATTGTTTTTATTGAAAGTTATCATTCTACATTAAGATAGAGTATTGCTATCAAACCACAAACAATCGAAACGTTATTGGTACTTTCAAAGCAAGCAAAAAAATATTATGAAGAATAAATTTTTTTCATAAATCAATATTTAAAAAAAAATTCCCTCTTGTACATCGCTTTACACACTGTATATACAGAGCATATCATATTTTTGTTTCAGATGTAAAGGTGTGTTGCCTAACCATAACGGTGGATTATCACAAGCTCAAAACTCGCAGGAGACTAGTTATTAATTATTATGTGATACATTTGAGATAATTGAGGGTCATTACTTCTGACCAAAACCGTACATACCTACTGCAAACGCATAAATGTATATCATTCGAGTTTTTAAATTATTTATTATAATAATAATCGTTATGCGGATATGGAGAATTTACTTATCTAAATTATAGTAAATGTCAAAAGTAGAAGCTTTTGCTACGAAGGATCATGTAATGCATTTTTGTTGTGGTGTACAAAAGAACACCGATGTTCCCTTGCATGACAAAAGAGACAGATAAATGTGTCACCTAACAGCGCGCATTTACTCCCAACCCTAATGCTCATGTAATTATATTCGTTCGCACTTACAAAATAATGCTGTAATAATTGAAACGATAATGTAGATAAGGTGTACTGTTTTAACGAGGTTAATTCTTGCTCTGTAACTATACAAAATTGGAACTAAATGAGCTTAAAATAGTCAGCGCACTGTTAATTTATTCAAGGGAGGCAACAAAATTTGCATAGAATTCTAATAATTTTAAAGGCCGTAGTATGCGTTACAAAGGTAGGTAATTTAATATTTAGGTATCGAAGATTAAATTTAGTAACGTTTTACTAAAATTAAAGTACATTTAGATAGGTACCTCCCTATATAATCGACAGTTATTATTCAAAACTACAAGTCTGAGACAATATAAAACAATTGTTTGACCTGGTTCTATTTCGTTTTAGAAGTACTTACGCATAGCGATAAGACTACAGCGGATAAAGCTCTTTTTGGGGTCTTCAGATTTTAATCAACCTTTATCGTAGGACACAAAAGATCTAAACTGATTGATTTGTGACAATCCTGCACTTCAATTGTAAAAGGTAGAGGATATATCTGGAACATTAAAGGATCGGTTTTATTCCCTTTGTTAAAATCTCCTGGATGCGTGGTGTTACGTAGGGTAGGTATATTTGACATTTCATGCTACAAGGTTTGCACCTAATAGAACCCGTGCTCAAGCTGTGTACAAAAACTACGACGTTGATTGTAATATAAAGCGCGATTGTATAAAATATTTCGTACTTTAAAGCTAAAAAATCTTTGCACAGAGCAGGGTTGCCTATTAAAAATTCTTAATGGCCTATATGTAGGTTTGTAACGCCCTTTTTTTTCGTAAAAATGAAATACCTGTTTGCGGCGGAATAGGTATATGAAATATACATATATTTGAAAAGAGCCAAGCAGCCAATTTGAACAGACTATACCGTCCTACACTCGTCATTACAGCTGCTATACGCTTGCTTTCTTGAACAAACTTTCAAACTAGCTAGAGAAAATTACCACCATTTTATCAGAAGTGGGCGACGCCAGTGCATTAGTGTCAGTTTCGTGTCTAATCAATACGTGCTCTCAAAATAATATATAACTTCTAAAACCACTGAAATTCCTACTGGATGAAAGTGGAAGTTTTATTTCTCTTCTACCAGCTAATGTTTTATGGTTTGCTAAACGGATATAAATTACACTATATAAACCGATAAACCCATTTCACAACCAAAGCATGCTCAACATACTAAGAAACGTAGTGCTCGATCATATGCTTCCATTCTTTGAATGTTGGGCCTGCATAATTTACACGTACCGACCTATTAACCCAAATAGCATTGCTGCAAGTTGTAGGTAGTGGGAAAACTTTATACGCGTGCTGGATATTAACAGACTGCAAACTACAAATCGAGTTCACTAGTTTTCTCAGAGAAAAGAACTTTCAGTCGAACGTTTATATTCTCTATTAGAAGTGAATGTGAGTAAGTCACGACAGTGGAGCTTTTTTGCTCTTTATAAAAACCGCTCTCCATTTTATAAAAATATTATTCGCGTTATCTTAAGAAAGCTGTTAGTGTTGCCAGTTGTAATTACACCCACGGACACAATTAATTTCTCAAAATTGCAATATTCTGTATTCCTTAACTAACAAAATCGTTACTATTCTCCTACAATATTAGAGAATTTATGCATCATCCTGTAAGATCCTTCACATTCACACTATACTTGACTTGCTAATTCCCAACTTCGTACATCCCATATGTTCTATTAAAGTTTGAAAACTTACAAATGTTCACGAATTTACCGACTGCTATTAACAACCAGCAAAGGGTAACCTAATTCCAGCCGTCTTAATGCCATAAACAACAAACCGTCAATACCGATATATTATAAATGGTTTAAAATTCATCACGATAACACACAATATCTTTTAAAGTAGCGGTGACAGCTTTGTCAATATGAGCATTGAATCATAACTTTCCGTCAACATGTATTTCATGGCCCTTGTAAATTAATAACATAAATATCATAATCTGCCACGGTATCATTATGGAAGATTTAGCAAGCATGGCCAATTGGATGTCATTACGGCTTTCACAAAAGCACTAGTGTTCTTATAGTCCAGTCAAATTAGCGCAATTTTGGACAAATAAAAACATTAATCGGTAAAGATCTGAATTTTGGTATACACATTTATTGGGACTTTCTATTGAACATACTAAAAATCCCTGTCAAAATCTGTTGCGCTCGGGACGCCATCTTGGAAAAACGGTACACTTTTCCAGTTTTTTGCCCATGTCTCGGCAACTATTACTGATACGAAGAAATAGTTTACATGAAAAATATAGTTTACTAAATTCCCTATAAAAAAGAGTATTTACATTTTTTTGTATCTCCAATACTTTAGCTGTAATCTCACGTTGAATGCGTCAGAACGCGTTTAGGCCCCGTATCGTAGTTATAGGAAGGAGACCGTCTTTTTTATGACTACACCGAAAGCTGTAAAAGCACCAAAAAATGAACAGAATCGTCTTGCGATAAAGCATTCTAGCAATGACATAATGTTTCATGATACGACATCATGTTTTTTTTCAAAAAGGTAAGCGAAAATGATTAAAATTGTTGGGGCCACGAAATGATTTCTGAAGCTGGAGAACGCCGTTCTCTGCATACAACGTGCCTGCTAGTGAGAGATATTTAAACCGACATCGTTATCAGACCTGCAGAAAATACGCATACAAGGGTCAGCCGAATCTAACCACTGTTACCCCCTACGGCTGCAGCGGCGCAGCAACACACGTTTCGTATTAATCAGCAAGTTCAGAAATTCCGTGGATGTGAAAAATCTCCCGAACTGTGGAGTTGAAGGAGAGTCCACGATTTCCTTGACCCTGTTCGGTCACTGAAGGCTTCCGTCCACACTCAGTGCTTAACTGCTCACATTGAAGATGAAAGTTCTATTGAGAGAGAGAGTTTTATGAGAAACCTTTAAACGTGTCTCATACCAAGCTTGAGTGCGACGACTTCGCATATATAAGAAATACTAGAAGAATTTTCAATAAATTTAATGATTTGTAAAAAGTTGTAAAAAAATATCTGCGCGACTGTTTCGAGAGCTCAGGATACTTGATTCCCTATTCGATGTCCGATTATAGCTAAAGTATTGGACATACAACAAAATGTAAATATGCTTTTTATGGGCTATTTAATAAACTATATTTTTTATCTGAGCTATTTTTCCGTATCAATAATTGTTGCCGATATATAGGCAAGAAACTGAACAAGTGCTCCTTTTTTCCAAGATGGTGCCTCGAGCGCAACAGATTTTGACGGGGACTTTTAGTGTATCCAATGGGGAACACTTATGAACATGTGTACCAAAATTCAGATCTTTACCGATTAATGTTTTTATTTTTTCTTATTTGACTGGACTATTATGAATTCATAAAAGCGCGCACTAGTTATTCACCTAACAAGTTCGTTTGTAACGATTACGTAGAAAATGTCAAAATTAATAAAATATTGTAAATCATAGTTTTTTTTCTAATCATGAGTTGGTAACACAATATAATAATATATAATATATAATAATTGGTTGGTAATGTGTTAATAAATCTGCTTTAACATGAGTGCTATTCTTAGACCATATAGTACATGGACTGGTATTCGCCCTATGCTTTCAATACAAAATGGATGGTCACGGATAGAGGGCACTGTAGTCGTGGGTATGTGAATCTCAGGGTAAACTAAAGTCGTGTGTAAACACCACTAGGATCGTTTAATGAGCAGATTTATAGTAACCGCGTAGTAGGGGAAGCTTTAAATACTCTTCATTATTTGCTATACGTCCACAAATCAGAATAAGTTTGCTTTTTTTGGGATATCTATATCTAGGCGATTAATTAATTGACGTTTGTTAATTTATAGGTTGACAGTCTCAAATCGTGCCTCATCGGACAACTTCGGGCAGACTCGTTTACCCTGAAACTCACATAGCCAGGCGATGTCCTTGACCATATTTTAGTTACAATTAGCAGTCCATGTACTATGGTCTAAGGTGCTATTACTAGTCGCGTAATTGCACTGATCGCACTTAATATCCTTGCAAGTCTTGAGTGTTATCAAAATAATGTGCCTTGAAGAGTGCTTTTGGTCGCGTAATGGCATTGATCGTATTTAATATCCCCAG